GCTGGCACATAAAGGATAACTCCAACTCGTCCTGTGTTTCTTCAATCAGTCAACACCATTATATCAGACAAGTCTACTGTGTTATTGTAAATGAGCTAAATGATAATTTAATTGACTCAACAAATTTGTAAATCGAATGCGCTCATTTTCTGAGTCAGTTGAAACATGCCAGTTTGTCAAAACAGTTATGCTTAAAAAGTTTTTAAATTAACGAGATCATGATGGATGGATGGATGGATGGATGGATGGATGGATGGATGGATGGATGGATGGATGGATGGATGGATGGATGGATGGATGGATGGATGGATGGATGGATGGATGGATGGAAGGATGGATAGAAGACAGACATACCTCAACGTTTTTACAGCTTTTCTCCAGGTCACTGATGACAGCCTGGACTCTGGCCCTGAACGCTGCCAGAGAAGTAACTTCTTCCCTCAACTCATCCTGAACAGAGGAAATATATTTTAGATTTTAGTATTTAAAATGTTGACCTAGTTAAAGCCAAGATAAACTGTTTAGACAGGATTTGCTCTTTCAGTCATTACCTAACTTCAAACACTTTTCAATTTTGTTGTAAAATAAAAAAGTCAGATCATATATTACATGTCATGTCATGTCATGTCATGTCATGTCTTATATCATATATTATATATCATATGTCATATATCATTGATCATATCATAGCATATCACAGACGTAATATATCATGTCATATAATTTCTAATACCATGTCATGTTATATCATATCATATCATACATCACTTCATATATCATATGTTATTTTATGTTATGTTATGTGATGTGGTGTGATGTCATATATCGTATATCATGTCATGTCATGTCATATCATGTTATGTCCTATCATATCATATCATATCATATCATATCATATCATATCATATCATATCATATCATATCATATCATATCATATCATATCATATCATATAATATCATATCATATCATATCATATCATATCATATCATATCACATATCATATTATATTATATCATATGTTATTTTATGTCATGTTGTGTGATGTGGTGTGATGTCATTTATCATATATCATGTCATGTCATGTCATATCATGTTATGTCCTATCATATCATATCATATCATATCATATCATATCATATCATATCATATCATATCATATCATATCATATCATATATCATATATCATATCATGTTATTTTATGTTATGGTATGTTATGTAATGTCATATATCATATCGTATGTTATCTCATATTTCATATTTCATATGATATAATATCATATAATATCATATCATATATCATATAATATCATATCATATCATATCATATCGTATCGTATCGTATCGTATCGTATCGTATCGTATCGTATCGTATCGTATCGTATCGTATCATATCATAACATATATCATATCATATCATATCATATCATACCTTCTGTTTCTCGTAGATGTCTGTCAGAGGAGCCACCTGACAGGACTGATGGGCCCCAAACACTTTGCAGAGGGAACATGTAGGAACCTTACAGGTGATACAGTAGATGTTCACTTTTTCTCCCTCATGGTCAGAACATGTTGGAAACTGATCAGGCAGTGGAGCAGAAGGGAGGGGGCTGGAAACAAGAAGATGAAAAGTGTGTCATAGTCTCGTTTTCTTAGACTTGGAATTTGAATTCTGTCTCTGTCTTTCTCCACCTGGTTGCATCGTTGAGCGTCTCTTTGTAGACGTCGATGATGTTCTCCACCAGCAGGTTCCTCTGCAGCCCGTAGACACCGTGGCGATCCAGCACCACCTCCTGTCTGCAGGACGGACAGCGGAAACGCCCGCTGTTCACCTGCATGGTGGTCCGGGCCTGGAACAGCGATGGCTGCACACAAGCAATTACAATTTCAAAAAAGGAAAAAAAACTTTGTCTGACAATACAGTGGGGGAAATAAGTATTTGACCCCTTGCTGATTCTGCAGGTTTGCCCACTTACAAATAATGCTTATTTTTCCTCATCAGATGGTTATCAATTTTTATAAATTCATATGATGTGATTTTCTGGAATTTTCTTTGGGATTCTGTCTTTCACTGTTAGAATGTACCTATGATTAAAGTTATAGATTGTTGCATTGTTTGTAAGTGGGCAAACCTGCAAAATCAGCAAGGGGTCAAATACTTATTTCCCACACTGTATGTAACTGTCCATTATTGAGGGCAAAGGTGTTTAAAGGACTTGAATTGTCTAATGTCGTAGATGTCAGTTAACAAGATCCCAAATCCCAGAAAAACTGAATTAAGAATCCAAAAAAGACAGAAAATGTCCGAAATGAAAGTAAAAGAAAACATCAAAATGTAATAAGGAAATCAAAGGAGGATACATATAACCGAGAATAATAGAAAACCACTAAAGAAAGACGAAAAACTGCAGACAAAATTGAATATCCAAAAAGAAATATGCAAAAATCCCTCAAAGTAAAGGAAAATAATCCTCAACAGGAAGACGCAAAATGAGAAAACAAGAATGGCGACTATTTTTTTTTGTTGTATTTGCTATTGGATCAGATCTCTTATCATTTGTCCATGTCTGCACAACCCAAACAAGTTTGCAGGGATAGGCTCCAGTTACCCCGCGACCCCATGAGGGAATAAGCGGTATTGATAATGGATGGACTTAGCTAAGTCCTTTTTTTAAAATGACTATTTCCTCTTGTAATAGCACTTGTGTTTGAATGAAAACATACTAAAAAAATTAACTCAGATAGCGGGAAATAATTAGATCAAGACAGCCGGAGGAGGTCAGGAAAGCAGCAGGATGGATGAGGCAATGGGAAAAGGGACAGGTGAACGGGGAGAGGGATGCGGGGTTACGGGGTAAAGCTGCCTGAAATAGCGCCCTGCAACGAGCCACAGCTGTTGCCCGACCTGACTCAGAGACCAGAGACGTGCTACTGGACTACAAATCTGGATGAACCTCTTGTACTCTAAAAATTGTTACCAAAGGTTTACCTGAATCTAGTGAAAGAACACCACTTTTCAAACAAAAACAAAAACAGCTAAATCTGAACATTCCCACCAACAAAAGCTCATATATTTGAGATTCTACTCATAATTTTTCTTTATATGCCCATTTTTATTCAACCTGACTTCATTACAACATCCTTTTTTTTGTGTGTGAGTCTGTTAGCTTAATTGGATAAGGTGACAGAATGTTGTGTTTCCATATTCTGGAGTTGTACGTCCCAAAGACAGAGAGGTTTAGTTGGGGTCAACGTGTCCAAAGAGGGTGCCAGAAAAGTTCTGCTTCATTTTGGTCCACATTTAGGTGCGCGTGTTTAGCGCATGCCGACCCCTCGGTGTCAAAGGTCGGTGGTCAGACTAGTAGA